ATGAAATGTCGCATTCATATGCCATCTTAGATAGCCGAGCCCATTTAGTTACATTTTGCATGTGTTGCATTAGGCATTGTTAACATAGCTAGGATCATGCATTGATTACTAACTAGTTTCTGTTTTGGTTTGGAGTACACTATGAGTGTTTATGCTTTAGCATCCTTGCATGCGTGTAAGTGATTACCATGACAGCATGCTTGCCATGAGGCTATCTGCTTAAGTGTTTAACTGCCTAAATGCCTGTGGATGAAGGTTTCATTACTTGAATTGGAACAATTCATCAAAATATGCGTTTTAAGCCCACTTGAGGGTGGCAAATCCGCGTTTTAGCCTACTTGCGAGTAACAACTTCAAACCATTTTTGAAAAACAAACATGAGATGTTTTGTTCCAACTTAAGCGATTTGGTCTATACTTGTGTGCTGTGCGCATCACATAGTAAGCAGCTAATAATCAAACAAGAACACATATGTTTTCAAAAACAACGTATCATGTTAGTAGAGGCCGATCTTTGATCGGGCGAACGGGGGTGCTCATTTCAGGACCTTCCCCTCTCGTACCCAAGTTCCCGAGCTGAAGCAACTTTGGTGATGACAGACACGTGGCCTTAGGCACGAGTCAGGGTTTCCTAAATTTTCTAAAAATAAAATATTTAGGTGGCGACTCTGAAATCTGGCAAAGTAGTCCATGTTTGGCACTTTTTGATTAAAATTGATTTTCCAAAACCAATTGTCGGATTTGGACTCTTTGGTGATTTATCAGTCTCACATTGCACTTTGCGAGATTAGATTCAAAACCGTGACAAGAGTCCGAACTGTAGTAGCTATGAACCCAATTCGCGCCCTCGCACGCGGAGCGAGTTCGAGCGGTCTACAGATGCTCAATCAGTCTAAATGGGTAAAAAGACTCGAGATAATTGTTTGGCTGATTTTGGAACCCATATCAGTTTAAGAATTTGTCTTAAAATTCGTAGGAGTCCTGAAAGTACAACGTGAAAAGTTTCTCTCAAGGGTGATTGTTTGGGCGAGAAACGTATCTCAAACAAGAAGATTGGCTTCGAAAACAAACATTTGGCTTCAAAGTCAAGATTTGGCTCCAAAGCCAGATGTCAAACAACCAACTAAGGCTTCGAGAGCAGGAAGTTGACTTTGAAGCACATTTTATTCCTGAGAATGCAGGAATGTTTAGGTTTGGTCTGCTTCAAAGGGATTGGGGACTAGTTCTTAGATTGCTTGTGAAGGATAAAATCCTCCGAAGTGAACTTTGAAGTATTCTGTAGCTGGAAATTGATTCTTATTTGATGTTTTAGACTTCAAAGTTACAGAGCCAGTACCAAGTCAAGTAAAAGATCGAGATCAAAATATTCCTTTTGGGACTCTCTGTCAAAGTGAACCTTTTTTGGAAAGTAGCATTGTTATTTTTAAAAGTACTTCGAAATACTTAAAAGTAACTTTGATATAAATGTTGGTCAATTTAAAGCTATCAAAATTGTGTTGACCATGCGATTGTCAATTGTACTCCATATTTTGGAGATATTCAAATCAAGTTTCAAATATTCCGTTGGAAATGTTCAAATCAGGCTTCGAAAAAAAAAAATTGGTACATTCGAAGCTTTAATTTTATTTGAATTGTGTGAATAAAATGGTCACAAGCATGCAATTGGAACATAAAACCAAATCATGCCAAATAGAGAAAGAAAAGCCTAGCTTTATTGATATGTAAGTAATTATATTAGAAAGCTTACTTGGCTACAAATTCAATCTCATAAAAATAAGGAATAGAAAAAGTAACAAGTTCATTAAATTTGACCCAACAATGTTTAATGAACTTATGTTCTTTCTTTATTCTACTTTCTATCCTATCAAAGTGGGGTTGTTGCAGCTAGTATGATCTTATTTGGTGAAAAAGCTGTTCAACTTTCGCCTCGAATTCTGTCTCTTTCAGGCCTTGTTCCATTTCGTCCATATCAAGATCATCCCAGTATGCTGAATCCTTATTTTTGAAGTCATTATATTCTTCAATAAGGTTCTCTGCTTCGTACTATGTCTGAATTCGATTGGTTGTTATTTCGTCAAATAATTACTGGTAGCCAAAGAAATTTTGCACTAACTCCAAAAAAGTTTGAAGTTCTGCCTGGGCGATGGAATTGAGAACATGACCCCGAGTCATAACATCGTAAGCCCATTGGAAGTTCTTGAGAGGAATCTCATCTCCAAGAACATTGAAGGACAAGTGAGAGAAGGCAACCAACAAAAGTTGAGCTTGATATTGCTCAAAGACAGTTGGAAGAGCTGGAGGTTGGTAGGAAGGAAGAAACTAATTTTCGAAAAGAGTAAGTTTCAATTCTTCCATCTAATGAGGATTCTGAGGAAGAGGGGGTGTAGAGGGATCCATTCCAAAGGAAGAGGGGAACTATGGGTTATTTACGCATTCAAGCCAGTCAAAAGAGCAACGTTTGGCCCTCTTAGCCAAGAATGACGGATTGTATCCCTGTGCTTCATCAGGATGGGGAGTTCCTCGCACTATCCTCGTTGGCATGGAGGACGTGTACCATGCCACAAGTAAGTTGTCCTCCAAACTGCGTTGGTGATCAATGGGTACATAGGGGTAAATCACTGAGCTCCGAGCTAAAAAGGGAATAGAAAGGGGATCATCGAATTCAACCAATCGATGGTGAATCCGATCCCTTAATTTGGGTTCATTAGGTTTTGGCTAGCTTTCCCAGCCAATAGACTTGGAGGAAGAAGAAGCAGCTGTGTCCCATGCAAAGAGTGGTGGGGCAAAAGAGGAGCTTCCAAGATCCATTTTTATGCTTGGTCCAAAGGTTTGTAGTTGGCAAATTTTTAGTCTAAAGGTTCGTAATTTGCAAAAGCTTCCATGACTTGTATAAATGGAGGCAGATGTGTGTAACCAATAAATGCATTGAGGTTCTTTCAAGACCTACAATCATCTTCCATAGACTCCTCGTATGCTCGATCAATGTAAGAGAAGATGTGATTGGCCATTGGAGATGTACCAGTCTTTTCATCTACTCAAAGAATAGAAGTGTAAGATACAAGGATTTAATGAAGTTCACTGCTTCATTATTCAAAAAGCGGTTATACTACCAGAATACATAGAGTCCATGCACGTCCTAGAATGTGAGTGGATTGCACAAGTTCACTAATATCACCAAGTATTAGGTATATTAGTGCGGGCGGTAATGTTGGCTATATAATTTGTAAAAGCCAATCATAATTTAACACGTGGCACGAAGAGGGCAATTTGAGAAATTAATACAAGTTGCCAACCAAAGTCAGACACGTGGCAGTTCGTATTGGTAATAATGGATCTATGTAGCACTAGAACAATCGAGAGAGACAAGATGATGTGGTCTAACGGTTACTCACAAAGTTTAAATTCAAAATCAGGAGGGAAGCCTAACTGCAAAAGTGGGGTGGTGGGACTAACTGTGAGAGAGCATATTCAGCAAACATGGGAAGACATTTCGACGGTTGGAAGCCCACTTCGACGATTATCATTGAAGAGTATAAATAGCAGAGAAGGCCCCAGAATGAAGGATCGGACTTAGATAAAAAAAACTAGTTTATTTACTTCGTTTTTCCTTCCACTTTTTATAGTTCCTTACATTTCTGCACTTCAATTCCTGTACTGCACTTCATTTCTTAGGAGTAGTTTCAAATAATTTGTTGCTATAAACCTCTACGAGACTGGGTCAAATCATTGTAAGTTTTCATTTTACTTAATGAAATTCAGATTTTGAAATTATTCTTCATTTGTTGTTATTTACTAAATTCTCCTAAACAAGCCACCAATAAAAGTCCTCTTCATTGAGGCTGAGAGAACTAAAACACAACCGTCTGATAATTGGTTGGCAATTAATATTCTGTAAGGACTAATTGATCCTTGTTGGCACGCTTAAAATTACATTATTAACCTTCGAAAGCCAAAAAGCCAACAATACCATAACATCAACCCTAATTTTTAGGGGTAAATTACACTGACGCCAAGGGTTGGTCCGATTATATTTCACCTTGGTACGATTAATAGTCTCATTTCACAAACTTCTACTTATATAAAAGATAATAACTCCTGATAGAAAAATAAAAAAATTATATTAAAAAAAGTAAAATAAAGGAAAGAAAAAAAAATATATAAAAAGTAAAACAAAGTAAGAAAAGTGAGAGTGCATGCACTCAATGTCTGTTTAATACCAACGTTAATTCTGTCTAAATAATTAGAATGACTGGGAGGTCGGTATAATCTTTCAAATGTCAAGAGCGATATGTATTAAATCTAAATTTCAGAGATGTAAGTGTAATTTACCCAATTTTTAGTTATCATAAAAATTGAAATGAATTCCTTCAATACATTTCCATCTTTTTGGTGAATTTTTCTGAGTGGGATGCCAAAAAAAAATTTATTAAATATTTTACACAAATATTTACATATGTGCGACCGACACCATGAGAGTTCCACCCATATGATACAAATAGTGTAAAACATTTAATAATTTGTTTAGGGCAACATTCCCCCCCCCCATTATACTTTTCTTTTAAATTTTTGGCAATCCATCCAGAGCTTCTAGGGATATTGTCCAGTAGCTTCTAGGGATATTGTCCAGTAGATTGTTATTTATTTATTTTTATTTTTATTGTACTTGTTGAATTTTGTTGGGCTAAATTCAAATCAGTTGAGGTTTGGAAAAATATTTTAAGTTAAATGATAAACTTTACAAATATTAAAAATTAAAATTATAAGCTATCTCATAAATTTGTAAATAGTTTTTGGAGTTTGCTTAAATTCCCCAATTTTGTTTCTTGCCTTATTTCACAATTAAAGTAACTACTAAGGCGAACTCCACTGATTACAAATTTGCATTAGAGGATAGGGACTCAATATAATGAGACCACAGTACTGACAATATTATGGCATAAGCCAAAATGTTCCCTTTTATACTTCATAGCCTGAAAAAAAATTCACCAGAATAAAAAGAAAGAAAAAGAAGACATACAGACACCAATTCAAGTTGGAGAAAAAACTAGCACAACATCACATAAATGTCAAAATGACACTAACGTTAACAAATTCACATTACTGACACCCCCAAATAACATGGAGTAACATCAACCCAACAAAAATATAAAAGTCACTCAAGCCCATTCAACTAAGCCATCATCCTTTCCACATGCATCCTGATAAATTCCTACTTCCATTGAGGATCTCAAATAGCCTGGTGGCTGTCTGTCCATGCTATTCTACAGGATTAAACGATCACTCTTGGAACTGGATGGCTCACTCATCCAACCTATATCTCTTTGCCTTTGACAAATCTGCTTTATTCTGGGCTTCGCATGCTTCCATCTGTGCTTGGAGGGACCTAATAGGAACAAAAGAAACACTTTCATTCAGGAAACAAAACGTAAAAGGAACTTCACAATTCGGGTAAGTTGCAGAATTTTTTTTTAATTATGCTTAGTTACTTACATGTATCCCTATGGTCCGTTTGTTTCAACAAATGTTTAACTGGAAGAATAAATGAAAGTGCAAATGAAATCAAGACAAATGTCATAATGGATTTTTATTCAAGAAGCAAACCCAAAAAAAAAAAAAAAATATGCGTATAAACATTCACAACTTTGCAAAAAAATATATAAAACATGTTGTCTCAACTCAACCACGAGCTTTTGGACATCTGTAGTTTTCAATAAATTCAAGAACCAACAAAAAAAAATTTCATTTTTATTTTTTTTAATCACCTTTAGGAAGCTTTCCCTGAAAATATTGATGCAGTGTCTTTGTCACATCGCTATTGTTTCCAAAAGCCTTTAAAGCATCACATCCAGACCAACAGAATCATATAGGACATATATATTATTGGGAGAAATATGAAACAGTGATTCTTTGAAAAAAAAATTACAAAATCATAAAAAAGTTTAAATTTTTAATTATTAACATTTATAAGATTTACAATTGATTTGTAATAATTTTTTGAAAATACCACTGATGTGATATTTACCCTATATTATTTGGTGTTAGAAACAAATATATGAGATGGAAAGAAAGACTGACAAAATGAAGAATGATAGTATCAATCATCTTAAAAAACTAAACAACTATGCCACATGGTATGACAGATTCATTTGCAATTGACCAAAAATGAATGACAAAAAAAGAGAGAACAATGCAGCAGCATAGATATATAGAAGTAAAATGGAATGATAAAAAATAGACTCTGCTCATTTCAATTGTGTTACCTATCCAAGAGTAAACTGTTACGGGAGGATTGGTATTAGTATTATTACCTCTTGATCATATTGCTGCAATTGGGTGAAAAAAGGCTCTCCACATAAGTTCCTGTTTCAAATTGAGTTGGACTGCTTCGAACCACTAGCTCCCTTCATTTTTCTTCTTGAGGATCAAAGAGCATTAGCTTATTTCTTATCGTGTGGAACAAAACTTGGCCATTCCTTGATAAACACAAGATTTTCCAATGATAAGAACAAGTATAACCAATTGTGATTTGGTCCAGGAATCTCTCACACCATACTCTTGCATCACCCAAACATCTTGGCAACCATTACTGAGAGGAACAAGCACACAAAGGCACCCACCAAGGGCACCAAACCGAAGCTTATGACGGTGAGCATACTGCAGAATTGGTAATGGCATAATCTGGAAATTTTCATCTACCAAATGAAATGTAGCAATAACATCCGACTTATTCGAATCCGTAGTTAACCAATGGAGAGAGCTACTAACAAAAATACCCGATGGGCATTCGAATATAAAAGGGTTACCCAGACAAGAATAATCCTCAATCCTTCTCCATGAATTGGTACTTTTTTGAATACACACTGACTGTATTACATTCAGTACAATCAGATATACAGAAATAATGAAAAATTCTCACAAGTTTGTAGTCATCATTGGATGAATCATAGCCAAGTCCATATCACAAAAAAAAATTATAAAAAAATGTAGACTTTTTTGAAAAAGGTGAATTGGGATGAAAGTGGAATGGACTATTTGACAGTCCATAACATGAACAGCAATACAAAAGCATGCCATAATCAACCAAAGCTACCATCTATATTCACCATCAGAATAGTGTGAGAGAAACTCAATATCATAAAACTATAAATATCAATGAAAGCTCTACACCCAAAACCTCTTCCATCAATCAATCATCTTGATGAAATACTTTTCCCTCCAGAATGGATCATCAATATCCTCAAGGCCTTCTAAAAATAGCCCAGATCTCGGATCTTCACCTATAGCAGCATGTTATATTGAATTAGCCATGTTCAATCGGTAGTTCTCAGTAAATTCCAGTAACCAAAAAAGTAATAACTTTTTTCCTGAAATATTCATGCAATTTCTTTGCCACTTTGTTTTCAAAGGCCTTCAAAGCGTCACATCCTAACTAACAGAATCATAAGGGAAATATAAATATATATATTATTTGGAGTTGGAATGATAAATATGAGATGGAAAGGAAGACCGACAAAATGAAGATGACTGCATCAATCATCTTCAAAATCAAACCAACTTCATAAAGTTTGCCAGATTCATTTGCAGTTGACCAAAAACAAACAACAAAACAGGCATGATAGGTTACCAATAATATCAACCTAAAGCATAGCCAAAAATAAACTGGAAAGAAAGGCCTTAAACCTCTCTCTGTGAGCATTAAAGACGAGCACACCAATCTTGCCCCAGCCACTTAAGCCAAAGTTGTACAATCAAAATATATAAACAAACTCCATACAACATAACAAATTAAATTCACACCGTCTTAATAACGTCAAGGAAAAAGAGACAACAATGGAGCAACGTAGATAGATAAAAGTAAAATGAAAAAGATTTAAGTTGATCCATGATACCTACACAGTACTAATATTGATGCTTGTTATTGCCTCGTGATCATATTGCTGCAATTGGGTGAAACAAGGCTTTCCACGTAAGTTCCTGCTACAAAATTATTTGGACAAGCTCGAACCACAAGTCTCTTAAATTTTTTCTCTTGTGGATTGTAGAAGATTAACTTTTTTTGACAAATCCCCAACAAAAATTCACCGGTCTTTGATAAACACAACGCTTTGCACAAAGGAAAACAACCATGATTGATTGTAAATTTGGTCCAAGAATCCCTCACACCATACTCTTTCATCACCCAAACATCTTTACAACCGCCGCGGCGAGAAACAATCATACAAAGGCACCCTCCAAGAACACTGAGCTCTCCAAATAAAACAAAGTCATCAACAGGAGATGGCACATCTCCAAAATTTTCATATGTTAAATCAAGTGAAGCAATTACGGTCGAATTATTTGAACCCACAAAACTACTAGCAAACCAATGAAGAGCCCCATTAACAAAAATCCCCGACGAAGGCCCATAAGGTGTATGAATATAGGGAGAGTCCTCAATTCTTCTCCATGAACTAGTTCTTAAGCTATACACACTGACTATATTATCATCAAAATCACAACCATAGCCATAATGAGCAATACTCACAACTTTGTGGTCATCACTGGATGAGTCATAACCAAGCCCATAACTATCTAAACACAAACATTTATCAACAGAGTTCATTGAAAAAGGTGAAATTGGCAATTTTTTGGATTGTCTAGTAGATGGGTTAACCAAAAAGAAAGAGAAATAGTAATTGAGCATCAATAACAACCCATTGCAGGAACCCCAAATCTCCTTACAAAGATTTGGGTTTTGCTTGGAAGGGAATTTAAGGTGGAAAGCCTCGAAATTGTTTTGGAATTGGAAAGATTTTAAATTGACGGAGTGGAAATTGGAAGAACTAGAAAGGAGGATGAGTCGATCGTGATGGTGATTGTCGTCTGTGTTGCGATTGAGTTGGGTTTTGATGAAAAAAGGGTCGGAGATGAGAGCGAGCCACGGCTTTGAAACGCACTTGAATCGGCAAAGAGTGGTGACGGAGAGTCGAGAGAGTATGTTCACGATCATCTCGTTCGGAATGTCCGCCATTGATTTGATTGGCTTGTTCTTTTTTTTTTTTTTTTTTTTTTTTTTTTGGCGAAACTTTTATTGCTCTGTATGGTTTTATATGCATTTAAAATTAGGGCTAACCACATCTATCAACAATTACAAAATTATTACTTAAAAAAACCTTCTAAACTTTTTCTTTAAAATAAAAAAAAATGCACCCCTCAATTATAACATTATTTTATTTTTATTATGGCTATGTTTTACTCATAATAAAATTGTTTCTCAATCTTATTCAAGCGTAAATCTTGAATAATTATCCAAGTGATTATGGAAAGAACATTAAATACAAAGTGAGCAAGTCTAAGTTGTAACTCAACTGTTATCTTGTGCAAAAAAAAAAAAAATAGAGTCTTATTTAAGTGTTTGGTTTTATAAGAAATTCTCAATAAGAAAATAAAAATATATTAAATAATATAAAATTATTTTTACACTTCAATGACTAACATTCCTCTCAAATGTGAAATTCTCAGAAAAAATTGAGAAAATTGGATACTTTGTGTGGGGGGGACAAAATCCAATTTAGTTAGAAAATGTGATTCTTGCTAAAATAAAAAATAATAATAATAAGGAATCACTTTTCTATTTTAATTTGTTCCAAACGATAAAATTATGAGAATCGATAATTAACTTCTTGTTCCCCTTCAAAATTATTGTTATTCAAACACAACCTATGAGTAAGTTTTTATAAATTGATTTGATCTAGTTTTGAAGTAAATTACACCCCACTTACTTATGTTTTTTTTTTTTTCATGACAAACAGAAAAAAACTTCATTCCATAGAAGGATAACATATTAAAACAACCTACGACACAAACTAAACAAAACAGGCACAACATTTGTAATACTAAGACTTGGTAACAAACTAGTATCTTTGCCCTTTCTTTGTCAACTCTCACGTAATATAATGAGACCACAGAACTGAAATTGATAGAAGCAAAATAGTGCTCCCTCTTACTTCATAGTCTAAAAAAATTTCAAGCGACAAAAAAGAAAAGACACAAATTAAATCCGAGAAGGAAATAGCACTAGCAAAGCATAACACAAATATCATATTACACAGAAGTTAATAAGTTCACAATACTGGCACCACAAAACAACATGAGTAACATCGACAGAGAATAAATAGACTTCAGTCAAGCCTATCCAATTAGGACATCTATTTTCTTGTCCATAGGCATCTTGATAAATTCTTACTTCTAGTAAAAATCCTTGAACATTATCAAGGCCTTATAGAGCTGATTCTTCAATCAAACGGGGAGAAGTCAGGACTCGGGGGACTGGATGACTCATCCAACCTAAATGTCTTTAGTGTCGACGAATCAGCTTCAGTCTTGGAATCATCACATGCTTCAGGCCGTGCTTGGGAAACCCTAATAGGAATATTGTTTAGTAAAAGAAACACTTCCATTCAGGAAACAAAATGGAAAAGGAGATTTCAAAATGATTTAAGTAAAGTTACAGATATATGTGTTAGTTATGCTTGCTTGCATATACCCCTAGGATCACTTCATTTCAACAAATGTATAATATAAAGGAAAGAGCAAATGAAATAATGGCAAAATGTAAGGAATGATTTTTCAGCGGTGCTAGAGGCCTCGAATTTGCCTTGACAACATTTTTTTTTTTTAGGTGGTGGCAGTGTTAGTTTTTGTGTTTTTTTTTTTTTTTTTTTTTTTTTGTTAATTAAAGGGTGGTTTATGTGTAGGAATGTGCCAAAAAATTAAACATTCCACACCAACTCATCGTATAAAATTATACGAAATTAACAAAATTTTACCAACAGCTTAACTGATCAGTCAATTTTATCACTCAACCAGTCCAATCTAATTGACTAATCAGTTAAGCTGCTGGATAAATTTTGTTAATTTCATATAATTTTGTACGATGAGTTGGTGCGGAATGTTTAATTTTTTGACACACCCCTACACATAACCATCTTTATAAAAAAAAAAAAATACCAAACCAGCATAGCCCAACAAATAAAATAAAATAAAATAAATAGCCCAACAAATAGAAGAAAAAAAAAAAAACTCAGCCTATGTAGTTTGATAAGGTGAGTGAGTTGGGTTAAACTTTATCAAACCATACAGGTTGAGTTAGTACGAGATGTCTAATACACATAACCACCCTTGCAAAAAAGAAAGGAAAAAAAAAAGATAGAAAAAAAAAAAACCAAACACACAGCACAAAAAACAAAAAACAAAAAAAAAAGAATTTCGAGGCAATTTCAAGGCCTCAAATTCGAGGCCTCAAGCATTAATCATGATTTTTATTCAACAATGCATAAAAATATTCACAACTTTGCATAAAAAATACAAAACATAAACAAGGCAGCAGAGGGACAAAAATAGAAGAGCCAAGATATTACTATGAAAAATAAGAAACAGAGAAAGCCAAATGCACTCACTGAAGACCATCGGTCACTCCAGTACAGGCTCATATAGTTGAAGGACCTAAGAAAGAGAGCCCTTTCTTGTATTCTCCTTAGAGTAACATGTTAAAAGTATCATGCAAGTCCTTGTGCCTCTGTAATTTTCAATAAATATCAAGAAACAAAAAAATGCTTTTTTTTTTTCAAAAAATTACCTCTGGGAAACTTTCCTAAAATATCGATGTAACGTGTCTTTGCCACATTGTTATTGTTTTCAAACACCTTTAAAGCATCATATCCTGACCAATTGATATTTTATATATATAAATATATATAATGGTATTGGAAAGAAAATTATGAGATGTAAAGAAAGACTAACAAAGAGAAGATGATAACCTCAATTACCTTCAAAATCTAACAAACTAAATCATGTGGATCACAGATTCATTTGCAGTTAGTCAAAATCAAAGAACAAAACATGTAATCGAGTCCACTTAATTGGTACACAAGACTTAGTTTGGCTTTGCCATGAATTGTGTAAATTCTACCTTATTTTGTATATATGGTTGTCTCTCTCTGTCTGAGAATTGAAGACAATCACACCTACCTAGAAAATCTAACCCAATAACTTGAACCCAATTAAGCCAAAATTCTATATTCAAAACATACAAGCAAACTCCATAAAACACAGTAAATTGAACTCACACTGACATTGTTCTATATACCATAAAGGAAAAAGAAACAACTATGCAGCAAAATAGACAGATAAAAGTGCAATGGAATGACAAAAAATGGTTTAGTTCAATCATCCATATAATCAAACTAAACATCACCATTGCCAAGAAATACTGGAAAGGCCTTAAACCTTTGTATGTGATCATCAAAGACAAACTCCAAACTAACATCAAGGACATTTGTTTTCTCCAAACAACATGACAAATTAAACTCACACCATTCTAATAAGATTAAGGAAAAAGAGAAAGTGATGCAATAACATAGACATATAGAACTAAAATGGAATGGGGAAAAAAATAAATTAACCCAATCCATGTTACCTATCCAGTACCAACCTTGATCCCCCATGATCATTAATATTGCTGAAATTGGGTGAAACAAGGCTCTCTATGTAAGTTCCTGCTTCAAAAAGATATGGACTGCCTTGAACCACAAGTTTCTTAGATTTTCTCTCTTGTGGATTAAAAAGGACCAACTTTTTTTTGAATAACCTCCAACAAAAATTCACCAGTCGTTGATAAACACAATGGTTTCTAGAAACGAAAATTATTATAATTGATTGTAAATTTGATCCAAGAATCCCTCATGCCATACTCCTTCATCACCCAAACATCATTATAAACCCCACAGTGAGGAACAAACACACAAAGGCACCCTCCAAGAACACCAAGCTCTTCAACTAAGATAAAGTTATCAATAGAATTTGGAGATGGCATATCTCAAAAATTTTCATCTGCTAAATCAAATGAAACAATTACAGTGGATTTATTCAAACCCACACCTTTACGAGCTAACTAGTGGAGAGCCCCTCTAACAAGAATCCCTCGTGAAGGTCCGTGAAGTGTATGGTCATAAGGAGAATCCTCAATCGTTCTCCACAAATTCATCCTTAGGGTATACACACTGACCATGTTATCAGCACAATTAGCATCTTGGTCATGATGAGAAATTCTCACAACTTTGTAGTCATCATTGGATGAGTCATGACCAAGCCCATAACTATTTAAATGAAATTTAGACTTAGAAAAAGATGATTTGGGCAATTTTGTAGATTGTCTAGTAGATGGGTTCACCAAAATGCTAGAGAAACAAATATCAAGCATCAACTACAAGCCATCACATGAACCCCAAATATCAATGCAACGATTAGGGTTTTGCTCAGATGGGAAATTCAAGTGGACTGCCACAAAATCGTCACAGAATTGGAATGATTTGAGATCCACAGAACAGAAATCAGAAAAATCCAAAATGAGAATGAGTTGTTCGAGTTCGTTGGTGTTGCGATTGAGGTAGGTTTTGATGAAATGATGGTCAGAGATAAGAGAGAGCCATGGTTTCGAAACGCACCTGATTCGGCACAGAGATTTGACAGGGAGCCTCAAGAGTACCTCGACGAGGATCTCATCGGGAAAGCTCAGCATCGTAGTCTTAAGAGTATGTTGACGGTGGTGACAGATTTTAAAGTAATGTATAAATAAATTTTCAAGTTATCCCCAAAAAAACAATTGATACATTTTTTAAGGTTGTGTTTGGATTATGGATTTGAAAAAATAAAAAAAAATAAAAAAAAAGAAGAGAAAAGGTGGTTGACATGTGAATGAAATATAGCCACATTTCACCCATCTTTTTCCTTTTCCTTTCCAAATCCATGATTCAAACACAATATAAGGAAATGAGTGTTGATTTCAACATCTGATGCGCCTGAAGTTGAACTTTAATATTAAGACTTTCATTCTTGATCAACATGCTTCCAAAATTTCGTGTCACGAGTTAAATGTGAAGTTGTGCCCTAAAATGTGATCCACGAATACACCCTAACTACAAAATCCTACACGTGCACTTTTAAACGCAAAATGTTTTTGAGTAGTATATTGATAATACGACTTCAGCTTTGAAGTTGTATTTTCAAAAGAAAATTTCAAATAATTTATTGTAAAATCTTTCAAAACAAGATGAGTTTGGTAAATAAATATAACTTATTTGAGATTGAATGAAAAGTATGATCAAATTGGAAATATGATTTAAAATCAAATTTATTTGGTAAAAAATATCCAAATATGCCATGTGCCACTTTGATCATACTTTTCAATTTGTGATTTTAAAAACATCCAAATATGCCATGTGCTACTTTGATCAAACACAATCAGACTGGGCTATCAGACTGGGGCTTTAAAATATGATTTAAAATCACATTTATTTGGTAAAAAATATCCAAATATGATTTAAAGCCCAACTAATCCCCAGGGGTGCACAGGCTCTCGACAAGGAGTTTCCGCAAGTACACCACAGTTAATTCAAGGGTTTTTTCCCCAGTCTGATAGCCCCAAGGAATTGCTAGCACCCAAGAGATTTCAACCCTTGAACCTTGGAGGGAGCACACTGTTAGCTTCCAGCCCACACTCCACATGGTGTGGGTGGCACCATGTGCTAAAGAATGGTGGTGGGGCCAACACTAACTCACTAAAGGAAGGTAGTGAGGGTGGCACCACCTTGGCCAATTATGGTTGTCACTTCACCCACTCATCCTCTCTTGGTTATAAATTGAGATGAGTAAGGAGGGGTTATATAGGGGAGTGATACACTGAAGAGCAAACACAAAGGGTATAATCTGTGAGTGAGAGTGCTATAGAGAGAGTTGTGAGGTGTGAGTACTGTAATCTCCCTCTAGGATAATTCTATAGTGGATATCTCTCTCGTAGATGTAGGCAATTGCCGAACCACGTAAATTTCTTGTGTTATTATGTGTGATTGATTTCTGGTGTCCCATAGTCCTAACAAGTGGTATCAAAGCCTCGTCGGTCGCGTTTTGGAACAAAAACATAGTGTTTTTCGAAACTGCCCAGAAATAAAGTTGCTCGAAATCCGTTATTGAGCATACCATGAGCAAGGTCTCCCAGAGAGGAGTCCAGAACTGCAAAGAAGAGGCCTAGAAGACCCTGGACGTACCCTCATGCGCTTTCTGAATTAGGCGCGTGAATCCCACGCCCAACCACGCGCCTTACTCGCCGATTAAACTAGCCGGCGCATCAGTCCACTCTCACCACGCGCCCCACGCACTTCTGAAGGAGGAATATGACTGCGTGCGCGTGTTGTGACGTCACACGCCACATCATTGTCCACGTGGCTACACGTTATCGCCACGTCACTGACACGTGGTTGCCACGTCATCGATAACTCACTGCCACATGTCTGATACGTAAGCGTCACCTCACTGACACGTGTCTGCCACGTTAGCCAAACCAGGGCCGCGTGGCTGTCCACGTCAGCACCCCTGTTGACTAGTCACCTCGGAGGCAAAGAATTATCCGCTGCTGCGCGGCTAAGGTACACCTGTAGATCTGAACTGTCCAAACTGTTTTGGCCTAATCTGAGCCATTTTGAGTCCGTTTTTGACGTTCCAATAGTGGTTTTCAACTATTTAGAGTATTCCGGACACATCCGTATGGTCAGATTTTTCATTCGGAGTTTTCTATAAAAAGAAAGAATACGATAGAGGAATCAACATCAACTTCAGGATCTATGTTCAAGTTGATTCCTTCCAATTATGCAATTTGGAAGTCAAGGATGGAAGACATCATGTTTTATAAAGACTTGTTTGACCCTATTTTTATAAAGGGGGTTAAACCTGAAGGAGTGAAAGATGATGACTGGATAAAGATAAATCGCAAGACTATCGGTTGTATCAGACAATGGATAGACCACGGTGTGTACCATCATGTCGCTAAGAAGACATATGCCTATTCTCTATGGACAATGTTAGACAACATGTACCGGCCAAAGACCACTCGGAACAAAGCCTTGGTGATGAGAAGACTTGTCAATTTGAAGTTGAAGAATGGTATGTCTGTCATCGAGCACACCAGTGAATTCAAAAATCTAGTGAATCAGCTTGCAACCGTCAAGATGCGGTTAGACGATGAAATGCAAGCCGTACTACTACTCAGTTCTTTACCGAATAGTTGGGAGACGTTGGTGGTCTCTCTCAATAACTCTGCACCAGAAGGAAAGCTGGCCATGAGTATGGTCACAGATGCCATATACAATGAAGAGACAAGAAGGAAAGACATGGGAGGTAATCAGTCCCATGCTCTTGTCACAGAAGATAGAGGCAGAGAAAGAGGTAAAGGAAGAGGTACAGAAAGAAGCAAGAATAGAGGCAGCTGGAACAACATGAGTAAATCCAGAGACAACAAAAGTCGAGGTAACTCAAGCTTCACTTGCTTTCATTGTGGCCAGGAGGGTTACATAAAGAGAAACTGCCTAAGCCAGAAAGAGAAAGGCCGAAGCAGTAAGTCAAAAGGAGATAAGAACACAACAGCCACAACAACTGATGAAATACTTCTTGCAGTTGGTGAAGAGGAGGATTGTCTTCACATGGCTGACCACAGCTACACAAAATGAGTGATAGACACAGCTGCATCCTATTACGCCACTTCCCACAGAGAGCTCTTCAACTCGTACAACGCTGGAGATTTTGGCACTGTTCGAATGGAGAATTCTAGCTATTCGAAGATTGTGGGTATTGGCGATATTAGCATTCAAACTAATGTCAAGAACAAGTTGGTTCTCAAAGATGTGAGGCATGTTCCAGATTTGTGCCTCAATCTTATTTTCGGAAGGGCCCTGGACTGACAGGGCTATACAAGTACATTCGGAAATGGCCGTTAGAAGCTGACAGGAGGAGCTTTGACAATCGCTAGAGGAGAGATGTCTTCAACACTATATAAGACTCAAACGAAGATCTATCTGGAAAGTCTTAATGCAGCAGAAGACAAGGAATCACCGGACTTATGGCACAGAAGACTGGCTCACATGAGTAAGAAGGGATTGCATCTGTTAACAAAGCAATCCAGGATACCCTTATCCAAAAAGAGTGCCTTGAAGCCGTGTGATCATTGCCTTTACGGCAAGCAACATCGAGTATCATTCAGTTCAATGAGCAAGAGGAAAACAGAAGTGCTCAATATGGTATACTCGGATGTTTGTGGTCCAATCGACGTGGTGTCATATGGCGGCCGCAAGTATTTTTTGACTTTCATTGATGATGCATCAAGGAAGTTGTGGGTGTATTTCCTGACGACAAAGGATGAGGTATTTCAGTACTTTTAGGAGTTCCATGCAATGGTGGAAAGAGAGACCGGGAAGAAGTTGAAGTGTCTTCGCATAGACAATGGAGGCGAGTACACTTCCAATGCTTTTGCAGCATACTGTGCCAGCAAAGGTATCCAGCACGAGACAACAGTTCCTGGCACCCCACAACACAATGGTGTGGTAGAAAGGATGAACCGCACTATTATGGAAAGAGTTAGATGTATGCTCAAAATGAAAAAGTTGCCAAAGTCATTCTGGGCTGAAGCTGCCCGTACAGCCTGTTATTTAATTAACAGGTCACCTTCAGTCCCGTTGAATTTTGCGATACTTGAGGAAGTTTTGTTCAGAAGAAAGGTATCATATTCTCACTTGAGAGTCTTTGGGTGTAAGGCCTTTGCACACATCTCCAAGGAAAACAGACAAAAGCTTGATGACAAGTCCACTCTATGCATATTTGTGGGCTGTTCAGATGCAGCATTTGGGTACAAGGTGTGGGACCCAGTGAACAAGAAGATGTTCAGGAGCAGAAATGTTGTGTTCCAAGAAGACTAGACAGTAACAGATTTTAAGAAATCTGCAAAGTTTAGAGATGTCATCACTTCAGACTTGTTTCCATCTCTCGAGCCATCACAAAATGCTAGATGTGATGATGTATAACAAGAAGTGCCAGAGTTGCAGGATCCTATGCCAGAAATTGAGGATGAGGAGGAAAGAGATGAAGACCCAAATGAAGAGGGTGTTGAGTAGGGGGAGCAACCCCCTAAACTAGAGCCAACTGGGCCTCATTTGTAGAGATCTGGAAGAGCTGCCGTGCCATCAATCAAATATCCCGCTTCTTAGTATATTCTGATTACTGATGAGGGGGAGCCCGAGAGTTTTTCGGAAGCCAAGAGTTATACAGAGAAAGATTGTTGGATGCAAGCCATGAAGAAGGAGATGAATTTTTTGCAGAAGAACCACACTTATGAGCTTGTTCCACTTCTAAGAGACAGAAGAGCCTTGAAGAACAATGGGTGTATAAATTGAAGAAAGATGGAAATGGTAAACTATTGTAGCATAAAGCTCGATTGGTGGTCAAAGGCTCTGGGCAGAAGAAAGGAATCGATTTTGATGAGATCTTCTCCCCAGTTGTGAAGATAACTTCCATTCGAGTAGCTCTAGGCTTAACAGCTCGCTTGAATCTGGAACTAGAACAAATGGATGTCAAGACTGCCTTTCTCCACGGTGATCTGGAAGAAGAGATCTACATGGAGCAACCAGAAGGATTTGAAGTTAAAGGAAAACAGAATCTATTCTGCAAACAGAAGAAGAGTCTCTACAGACTGAAACA